TATAATCTTCGCCAACACGAGACTAACTATTCTACCTTGTTTTTCTATTTAGTGCAAATTTATAAATATTAAATGAGCACTCGTCGTCGTCACAAGAATTTGTTTCAGTATCTTGTGTTTTGTTGTTGTCTTTTTTCGCCAACTTACAGCTGAATACATTGGCACACGGAAATTAGTTGGCAGCACAATAAAATTAGAACTTCAATTTAACAAATTAGCAGAAGCAGCAAGTGCGAAACAAAAATTGGCCAGTACCAACACCTGTTGCCAGCCCAAGTTGGCCTGTAAAAATAACATTAAATTTCACTTAAGCAGTGCAAGAGCCCAAAGTCAAAATCCAGACAACGCCAGCGAATGGGGAAAGGGTAGTTTTGAGTTTTCCAGTGCAAAAATAACAAAAACAAAGTACAAAAAACATGGTTTAGTTTTCTTGTTGTTTTTGCGTATTTTCATGATGCGTGCGGCGACGGCATCCCCGTCTCCGATCCCGTCCTCGTCCCCGTTCCCGTTCCCGTTGCTCGCCCATTGCCCATATCTCCCAGCTGCATCTTTTCGCCATCTGTCGGTGCCCCCAACAACAGTACCCCGACCTACCCCTCTGTGGCTAGTTGTCTTCCGTTTGCCGTCTGCTCTGTGTGTGTACGTGTGTGTGTGTGTATGTGTGCGTGTGTGTTGTGTGTGTGCGTGCAAGTTGTTGCACTTTACGCTTGCGACCCACATTTGTCTTTGGCGGCCGTCGCCGCATGGATTTTCCGAGGATTTTCACCACTTGCGCTTGTTTTCTTTTTTGTTTTTTTTTTTTGTTTTTTGTTTTTGGTTGCATGTTGAGCATTTCCGAGTGCATTCTTCTTCGGACTGATGCCCGGCCCTGGAATTTGTTTCTTTTGTGCAGTGCATTCAATCTTTATGCGGTCGACGTTGTTGCTGTTGGTGTTGGTGATGCTGTTGCACAGAGATTTTCCTGTGCATCCTCCACTCAGTGGCACTTTTAAATTAAGTTAAAGTTGCTTTTTGCATAATGCAGTGCCTTTTGGTCAAGTACTGGCCGGCATTACCTTTTCATGTGTCTTCTTTTGGCATGTGCCAAGTGCGGAGTATCCAAGAAATTTCACTATTCACTCTAGCATGACAAATATGCATTCTGTTTACTTTTATGCAGTCTACTTATCATGTGGGCTAGGCAACAAAAATGTATCAGTGTTGTGTGTGGCTATATATGTATGTTTGTTAACCTGTTGACATTGAAGAAACTCCACACTAAAAGGGCATTTATTTATATGTGCAGTCTCTATGAAAACTTGATTGTCGAGAATAATTAGTCTTCCATGACAAGACATTAATTATATTGCATCTTATTCAGTTAGGGCGAATACTCAGAAAGTAGGGCAAGGTGCATTTGCGAAAAATAATGGTCCGATTCCCTGTACCAACTCTGCACAATTCTTATTAACTTACATTCAAACTCACTTCCTATCACATCATTATTCTATGTGATTACCATGAACAAAAAATATGCTTACTGAAGGGAATCATTTCCATCAATAGGAGGTGGGAAAGGGCGAGCGAGTTGCAGGAAGTAGAGCGAAAGAGATAAGCTATATTGCAAGCACATATATCAATAAATGGTATTAAATAAATAAATAAAACTTAAGCTGATGTATATTTGCATTTAGCAAGTGGCCGGCATTTTAAAATTCCGAGTTTTATAAAAGAGTCTTTTGACAAATATTGATTTGCTAATAAAAATTAATTAAAGTGCTAGTTTTTTGTGATTAAATATTTTTTTATTTTTCATTAAATACTGCAAATATGATTTGATTGCATTTGTGTTTGGTTGTATGAAATGCAATTTGAGTTAGTGCGAAATCAATTTTATGCTATTTGTCAGCTTATTTGTTGATTTTCCCCTCTGGGCACTTTGCCATTTATTTGATGTTAATTCGCAATTGAATTTAAATTTAAAATATGTATTAAATAAAGAAATAGTACACGAGTCTTTGACAGCTATAAAACGAAATGTACTCACAACTTTTAGTTGTCGTATCGTTTCTTGGTCTGCTTAAAAGATTTCAATTTAAGTTTTCAGTTTTGTGTTCATGACTTATAGTCGCATGTTGTTTAGATGGAAAGAACTATTTCGTAGCAGCAGCAGCAGCAGCACGCGTATCTGACGGATTGCCAAACATGAAGCGCATCTACAGCCAACACATGTTTTGCAAAATAATTGAGATTTCTGGCTTTTTTTTTGGTGTTCTTATGTTACTTTTTTTTCTGCAAAATATTTCTAATTTGGTTTTCATTTGCACAAGTGACACCGAGACCGCTGCTTTTGGGCACGCTGCCAGCAGAAGCCATCAAATCGCATCAAGTGCTCGTCGGTTCTGGCCCTTTTGCTATAATGCATATATGTACAGATATTTATATACATATATATGCATATTATATATGGCTAAGTATCTGCTTGTCTAGCTGCCCGTCTCAGCTTATGGGCCTCAGCTGTGTGTCATTTGCATTGTTTAACAGCGTCTATTTTGGGTGGGCCATTTGCACTGATCTGCCGATACTATCGGACTATGACAGCCAAGTGTCAACGCTCTGTTCGGTCCTTTGGTAATTGTTATGCAAAATCAAATATGCAAAACTTGTGCCGAATAGACGCAAAGATTTAGCTAAGCGTGAAAAAGATAAATACTTTCTAACATCTAAGGCACACGAGCTGTTAAGTGCACAGTTCATTGTTTATGTTGTTGTTGTCGTTGAAGTGCCCCGCTCTTAAGCAGACAATGAACTAATACTGCTGTTGCCGGTCTAACTACACATACACACACACAGACACACACACACACAGACACACACAAACACACTCACACAACGATAAAGATCTGATGACATCAGTTGATGTTAACTTTGGACATACTACATAAGTTGAAGTCAACGCTCACTTGAGGGCGCTCTTCATAATATATCGTTGTCCACGGTGCTATGCACAGTGTTACGAGCGTATGGGCAGTTAGAGCAAAAGCCAAGCTCAGCGTGAGTTGTGTACTGGGTAGGAAACTTGTTGCATAGACTGGGACACGAGTATTCGAGAATTTTAAAGCACATTCAAAATCGATTTTTTAGGTCTTGGGCTTTTTGCCCCAATATATACACAAACATTCTTGCTACATAAAAACAAATGTTACAAAATTTTCATGATCTCATGAAAGTCTTTATTAAAGCGGGCAATTACACCACCATGTGGTTGCTAGATCTACAAAAGTAGGTTGTCTTAAATGAGTGATAAAAAATAGTTAAGTCTTATCAACATATTAAAAACTCAAAGGGTTTTTGGGGAAAATGCAATTTTCATCTATATGGATTACAGCATCAGATAAGTCTGTATAGAAAAGTCTTGTTTATTGCATTGTCTTTCGACAACTCTTTCATAGACAGATTTGACTTCTCACAATCTCGACAATATTATTGATGCTTGTTCATTGTTGAAACCACTGTGCGTCGGCGTTATAAATTTTTATCAATTTAACTAATAAACTGCACTTAATTTGTGTTCTTGTTTTTATTGTTGTTTCTATCAAGTGTGCGTCGCTCATTAGGTAGCTCTACGGTCGCGGCTGCCGTAAAAATCAATAATAATTTACAGAGATTTTTAACATGCCATATAACAATTTTAGATAACCACACTCTGTGTCCGCTCGAGTGTGTGTGTGTGTGTGTGCTTGCGTGTGAGTGGGCTTTTGAAGCTTTTGTGTTTGCTTGCCTTTTTGTTTGTCGGCCCACAATAGGTAAATAACAACAAAGTTATAACAAATTAGATAAGCGGTTTATTAGCGACGATACCGTCATAGCAACTACAACAACAATTAAAACACCAACAACAAAAACAACAGCAACAACAGCAACAACAACGAGGAGCTGCACAGTGGGCGATTATTTGCTACAAGCAATTTACAAACACCACTCCATAATGCCAAAATTGTAGTGTGTATGTGTACGTGCGTCTGTGTGTGTTAATTCGTAATTCTTATTTTTCACACACTTTTTAATGGCTCATAGAAAAATAGAGAGGGATAGAGAGAGAAGTACATAGAAATAGAGATATAGCTGAACTTAAATAGATATCTATTGACAGATTTAGATTTGATAAAGAGAGATAGAGATAGAACAATTGTTTGCAATAAATAAGTTTAACTTACAGAATTTTTTAAATTGAATTATCAATGTTGAGCTAAACTTAGATGAGTAAGATCTTTAAACTTAATTGGAATAATTTGTTTCTCTTTAGTTCTCTTGTGAGTTCATCTTGACTAATTTAATTAATCGGCGCTTTATCCATTTTTCTATCTTTTCAAGCTTTTTATGATTGTTTTCTTTTACTGACTATTTATTTATTAAAAATATAATTTCCAACAGTGTAGCACCTATTATTATACAAGATTTTATTTGCCCAATACAGTGAGCGGCATCCCAAAGAGTAAACGAGAAAAATAAACTACGATGTGAATTCCCTACGAATGGCAACCATTCAAACCGCCACAATATAATTTAGAAGCATTAAGTTCTACATTCGAAAATTTTCAAATTGCCTTTGTATTCTAAAATTAATTTTTATTGTGCTGTGTTTCCATTTTCCCTAATTTATTTTGCATCACATTTAAATCCTTTATTTATATGCACGCATGTATTTTTATTCTATATTTATTTACTAACTACTCTTATATGTGGATTTCCGCTTGTTTTGCTGTGGCGTGCATAAAATCTTGCAACACTATTGTTTATTTTCACGTCCAGAAATCTAAAAGAACAAAATTCAAAACAAAACAAGCCGAAAACAATCATATAAACAAGCCAAACAATTTAAATTGCTGGAAGATGTAGAAACGGAAGTTTGCATGAAATGTATTCAGTATAAGAATTGAGAATGTCTACAAGTAGGCTAGCCTTAAGTGGAGTTAAATAAATATATGTTTTGATTTTTGCTTTTTTTTCTTTCGTTTTAGGTAAGTTTTTGTTGGTATTGGTGCAAAGAGTTCTTAGCATGAACCAAGCTGTAAGTGTTAACTTTCAAATAAAATATTGAATCTTTAAAAAAGTGCTAAATAACTTTGAACAACAACTTGAAGTGTTTGAGCTAGTGTGTGTGAGTGTGTGGACCATTTGAACTGCAATTGGCTATCGAAAGAAAACACTTTAATGCCGCTGGAAAAAAACCACAAATCTTTGAATGCGAAGCTAGAGTAAAACGTCAATAAATTATTGTTTTTTGTCGTACCTCGAATCCCTACTGTATGCTGCTGCCATTCCATTGTTGTTGCTCTAATTTTCGGCATATTTTTCATGTCATTTTGCATTTGACTGTCCGTGTGCGAATGTTGGATGTATGTAGGAATATATGTACATATACATATACATATATATAATTAAGTTTTACACGTTAGGTTACTATAAAAAAATATATTTCAATTTATTATTTTCACTTAACGGCTACTTTTGTTGAGTACATTCAGATTTGCTTCCCGAATATGAACTAATTTATCTAACTGTTGCGGTCGCTTAGCAAACTTCGCTTTGAGAGAGTTTGAGTCAAAATTGAGTGAAGTTTGAGCTGCGTCAGCAATTATGCGTGGGATAGTACTCTGATGGGAACATTGACAGTGGCGTGATATTTAGGGTGAATTGTTTATGTCTACCAAAGGGGGACAGTTTGATCTTGACCAATGTCGATGTTATCACCAGGCTCTTTGTTTACAATATTAGAAATGTTTATAATTGTGCTTATGCTTATGTGCTAAGTTATGTTAAAGGGTGGGTGCGACTATGGATATGTCACTCCCCCAACCATTAGAAAAGTGCCTGTCCTCAGGTGTTTAAGTTTGGATATAGTGTAACATTTTCTTCTTTTAGAATTGGTATATCTCCTATTATTGTAGGTGTTTCTTCTACTTTGGGTTTTTTATATTTTATAATTAATTTCTTAGGTATGCTTTTGAACTTATATGTCAAATACAGTGTTAAACTTATTAATATGATTACAAATATGGTTATTGTAATTATCTGGAATACATTGTTAAATTTTGTATGTGCATTTATAATTTGTTTCGTTTGTACAAACGAAAGTGGTTCTAATTTTATAACATCATTGCTTACGTAAATGCTTTGAGTATAATCTAACATATTGTTTGAAATTGAAATTTCATTAATTTGCAATGAACAATTAAAGATTTTTATTATATTGTTTCCTTCTATTGTTATTTCGTTATTTATACAATTATGGTTTAATATAGTTTTTGGTAAATTCCAAGTTAAAATTATATTTGGTTCTATGTAGTTGATTTGAAAATTTTGCAAAATTTTAGTATAACTACATTCTGATGTTATTTGGTTTAAAATTCCTGTTAAACATTCATTATTAATTAATTTTTTTGTTTCTCTGCTATAAACTTTTTTATCTTGGGTAAAATATTTTTCATGAGCTATTTCTGTCAAAATATTATTATTTTCATCCGGGTATGGAATTATTTCGAATACCGGGCTTTTTATTATTTCTCGAGGAATATGGGATATTATAAGTATTTCGTTTGTATCTGATTTAAACCAAGTGGAAGTTTTTGTATTCAACAATTTCTCAGAATTAACATGCAACAAATAGTCATGTTTTAGTAATTTTGGGTTAAAAATTCCTAATCTTGTGAGCTGCATTCCCATCTCAATGTCTTCTATATATTCTGTAAAGTGTTGTAAGTTAAATATAAGGATATCTAATTTCTTTCCTTTTTGTTTCTCTTGATCTAGTTCGTTCATGATTTCTATTCCTTTGTTTATAGCTTCTATTATGTAATTTAATTCGTTAACCTGGACGCTGTTTTCTGCTAAGTTGCTTATTTTTTGTTCAATTTCTGCTTTGTCTTCTTGATTTAATGTTCCAAATAAGTATTTATATGCTGTTCCTACTATGTTAACTAAACCTCTTTTGCTGCGTTTGGCTATTTTTAAGCCGTTTATTTCTCTGTTTAATTTTTCTACTAGGTATTCGATTTGTATAAGGTTATTGAATTCTTTACTTTGTTCAATTAAATTGTTAAAAGTTTCTTCGGTTTTTGTTATATTAACCGTTAAACAGTGGAATTCGTAATCTGTCGGAATGTCTATGGTTCCTGTTTTAAATATGAGATATCCGTTATGGGCTTTGATAGGATTAATTTCAATACTCTGTGCATTTATATAGTTTACAGTTATTGATAGTAATATTATAATAATTAATTTAAGCTGGTGCTTGTATGTTTTGATCGCTGTCTGTTGTTGACCTGTAATTGTTATATTTGCTTTGATTAGTCTTCTTTTTCTTTTTAAATTTGGTTTTGTAATGTGTTATTTTCCTGCCTCTGTTAGTTTCCTCAAAATGTTTGTCGTCGATTTGTCTTAGTTCTCCTGTTTTCTTGAACGGGGTTGTCGTCTTTGATTTAACTAACGGTGAGTGTTTGTATCTAGTGTCAATTTCATAATTTGTTCGTTTTTTGTTGAGGTTATTTATTAGTTTTTCTTTATTAGCTTGAGTGTCATACTCTGGTGTACCTGCATATATGAATATGTCCGCTGGTGTTCTGTTAGTCGTTTTGTGCTTTGTTTTATGATTGTACGTGTAGAGTATAGTTTCAAATTTTGTAAGTTTATTTTCGACGTCTGAGTCGCTGTTAATGATTCTTAGTTTTTCGTTAACTGTCTTATGAAATCGTTCTACGTCGGATATACCATTTTTACTAGTGGTTATATTAATATTTACTGCTTCTGATTTTAGCCATAATTGTAAAGCTGTGCACATAAAAGCTGAGTCTTTGTCTGCCTTTATTTCGATGGGTTTACCCATTTGGTTGAACACTTGTAATATAGCTCGTTTGGTTTCTAGCCAGTCTCTACTTTTTATTTCTATTAATGATGCAAATTTTGAATAGATATCAATGCAAGATAAAAATTGTTTATCTCCTACTATGTAAAAATCCATTACATATTTTTCTCGGATATTAGCGATTTCCGGAGTTATTTCGAAAGTTAATTTTGTATCTCTGTGTTCTGTTTTTGCGATGTTGCAAATCTCACATTCATTTATTAGATTTTGAATTAAATTTTGATAATCTGGGAAATAGTGGGTTTCTTTGAACCAATTGATAGTTTTTTCAATTCCTGGGTGTAATAATTCTTTGTGCTTTTTTAATATTAATTCTTTGAATTCTGCGTATGTTTGAAGGTCTATTAATTTTGTACTAGTTTTCATTGCCTTTGTTGAATTATTCGGACTTATTATTTCTAAGTAGGCTTCTTGAAAAATTGGAAAATCTGCTTCGTTGTGGAAGTATAGCACACTTTTCTTTGTGCATAAGTATTCTTTTATTAATTCTTTGGCATGCGTATTAGTCATGTCTTTGTACGTAATTTTTATGTTGGTTTTGTGAAAGTAATTCGTAACTTTTGTTTCGTTCTCGGTTCCTTTTTCAAATTCTATTTGTCGATTATAATAATTAAGTGGTCTTTCTGTGATTTGTAAATGGTTACTGTTGTCTTCTTGAGCACTATGTATTGTTGCTCTTGTGCTAATTGTATCTTCGCCTAAGAAGTTTTCGTTTAATTGAATTCTGGACAGAGCATCTGCCACATAATTTTCTTTTCCTGGGACGTATTTAATTTGGAAATCAAACTCATTTAGCTTGATCTTCCACCTTTGTAATTTCATGTTAGGTTCTTTCATATTATTTAACCAGACGAGTGGTCTGTGATCACTAAGGATTTGAAATTGTCGACCAAAGAGATAGGACCTAAAGTATTTAGTGGCCCAAACGATTGCTAATAATTCTTTTTCAATCGTTGAATAATTTAACTCATGCTCGTTGAGAGTTCTACTTGCATAGCATTTGTATAAAGGGTTGTATTGCTAGGTATATTTTCTAGTGCTAACTTATTTAAAATAACAAAAGATTTATTCTCGAGCTCCTCGATGAACTTACGGACGTTTCCTTGGTAATTCGTGTTGTATAAGCGTCGAAGGAGTTCTTCAAATGGTGTCTGCACTTTGTATTCTTCAATCAATGCGTTTCTCAGCTCCTGCCAAGTGTTGGCTGCTGTCCTTTGTGATATTCTCTGAGCATCTCCTGTGACTTGCAATTCGATGGCTCCGTATAAGATGCTATGTTGTCTAACATCTCGGGTTGGATACAGGTGTAGGATGTAATCTATCCTTTTAATGAAGGCGTTTAGTTGATCCGTTGATCCGTCAAAGCTTGGCACCTGTCTAAGTTGTGAAAGGGCCTGGTTGAGGTGTTGTTCTGATAATTCCATTGTCATCTTGGTGTAATACACTTTTTTTTGAATAGTTTTGAGTTTGTAGGTTTGAACTTTATTGTTCTTTGATTTTGCACTTTTATTTTAAGTTAAAGTTTGTGATGGATTATTGTGCAAATGTTTTTTTTTTTTTTGTGTGTGTGTCTTAAAAAGACTCAGTAATAACGTATTGCAGGGATCAAACGATATGCAAAGCCAGTCGTTATTAACTGTAGTAGCTTTATTGCCCAAAGGGTCAATATTATTAAGCTACTAATGACCCGAAGGTTCTTGTGCGGATACGTATTCGAGAAAATTTTTATTACACTCCGACAACACTTTCGGTCGCGATTGTGCGTTAGATCTGGGAATTAATTATCCTTTAGCGATCTTTAATTTTTCCCGACGTATCCTACCGACTGCGCCAATTAAGTTTTACACGTTAGGTTACTATAAAAAAATATATTTCAATTTATTATTTTCACTTAACGGCTACTTTTGTTGAGTACATTCAGATTTGCTTCCCGAATATGAACTAATTTATCTAACTGTTGCGGTCGCTTAGCAAACTTCGCTTTGAGAGAGTTTGAGTCAAAATTGAGTGAAGTTTGAGCTGCGTCAGCAATTATGCGTGGGATAGTACTCTGATGGGAACATTGACAGTGGCGTGATATTTAGGGTGAATTGTTTATGTCTACCAAAGGGGGACAGTTTGATCTTGACCAATGTCGATGTTATCAC